TGCAGAACGTTGACATCCTGCAGAACGTTGACATCCTGCAGAACGTTGACATCCTGCGGAACGTTGACATCCTACGCAACGTTGACATCCTGCAGAACGTTGACATCCTGCATAACGTTGACATCCTGCATGACGTTACAATCTCGCAGCACGCTTTGCTCTTCTCTTCTCCTGTTCAGTCCAATAGATCTTTTCGATAACCAGTATTAATGTTTAAATAAAAGCCTTTCATGAAATATTGGCATACACTTGCCATTATACTTCATGCACACGAGATACTTTGTTTTCTATAATATTATCCTAAGTTTTAAATTATTTTTAGTCATGATGGAAAGATAATGTTTTGCGAAGACTCGGTTTGGCCGCCGCTTGCATGCGAATTGTGCAACTCAAATTACATTGTTTATTTATTTAATTACATTAGTGTTTGCTCGGCCAATATTATTCATGCGCTTATAACTTGTTAGTGCGGATTTTTGAATAGATTTTGCGTCAGCCTTTGATTACATTTTTTATCTCTTTTGGACTGATATTTTTTATAGGCCTCTTTTATTCAAAGAAATTGTATTATTCCATACCTAAGTATATTTAGTTATTCTCTGGGAATATCTAATCTTGCTCTAGGAGATAATACGCAAACTATTCAGTTTTTGCATCTGGGAAATATCTTTCCTGTTTATATTCGATCAAAGACTATTAGGTTTTTAATGCATCAAGTCATACTTATGGCTCATACTCCGCCATTATTGTACGTCTGGCACCAAGAATAAATGCGATAATAGATGCGATAAATGAATAAATGCGCTCCGTTAGAACATCCCTTCATTTCTATAGCAGAACCTTAATAGCTATCTTAACTAAAGATAGCTATATTCACTATTAGCCCAATAACTATCTTAATAACTGAAATAATAATTGACCAGCCAAGCTCGTCCCATACACGAGAAAGCTCTTGTGTTGTTGAGTGCGCCGTAGCAGTGATACGGTTTTTCTGAACAACCAGAGTTGCTGGTAGAGGCGGGACGTAAACAGAGTTGCTGGTAGAGGCGGGACGTAAACAGAGTTGCTGGTAGAGGCTGGACGTAAACAGAGTTGCTGGTAGAGGCGGGACGTAAAGAGAGTTGCTGGTAGAGGCGGGTTGTAAACAGAGTTGCTGGTAGAGGCGGGACGTAAACAGAGTTGCTGGTAGAGGCGGGACGTAAACAGAGTTGCTGGTAGAGGCGGGACGTAAACAGAGTTGACGTAAACATAGTTACCGGTAGAGGCGGGACGTAAACAGAGTTACCGGTAGAGGCGGGACGTAAACAGAGTTGCTGGTAGAGGCGGGACGTAAACAGCTTTCTTAACGTAACCTCATAAGAAATAGTCACATGGGGTGAGATCAGATGATCTCGGTGGCCAGGAGCCTAGAGCCAGATCTTCATTTCCTATGCGTCCTATCCAACGCTCAGGAAGTGGCCGTTCCGCGTTGAATTGGTAAAGTTTAAACGCCTATTTAGTTAAAAAATTTTGATCTTTTTCTTTCCAATGGTCTATGAATAATTAATTTTTAATTTATTCTTAAATAAGCACAAATTTATTAAATTGGGCCCATCATTTAGAAAAACCCCATTTTTTCTTTATTTTTTCGATTCCTTCATCCATAATAGTTTAAAGGAGTGATTGTTCTTCCGGATTGTAAGTCTGGTTGACAATCATATCGCTGCCACAGCAGCAAAAAATGCCTCGGTAAAGATAGGGTGCTAAAAAATGCGTAATGAGATCAAATTTATCTATGCGGGTGTATATTGCTTGCAATCATTTTTAGCTTTACATAAAAATCAAAGTATAGCAGTTCCTGACACGATATATGCTTCAAAGGTTCACATCAGCGTTGCATGCTCCATGCTAAATAGGAATAAAATTAAATCATACGTGTAATCGAGTTATTAAAAGAAAATATTGAAAACGAAATTTCCAGATTTTCCCTTAGTAACAGGAAATGATAGATGCTGATAATACGGGAAATTTTGAAGATCTCTGAAAAACAAAGAAAGCAGAACGTCTTCGTCACATGACATCTTCGTTTGTGTGCATCACATTGTCGTTGACTGGACTCCTCAGCCATTTGCAGTCCAGTGGTTGTCTAATTATTCGTGCATGTTAAAGAATCTCAATTTGAATAAATAGTTCTCATAATAAAGAGCTGCAGGATGTTTCGTATATAACTGTTCAATAGATTACATGTGATACAGGTATGCATGACGCTAGAAGCGCTGATGACTACATACGTACAATGAAAACGATAGTTGGTTGTTCTCAGTATTTTACCTAACAATTCTTGAGGTTCAATATCACAAGAAACGTCTTGGAATAAATGGGACCTGATGTGCAGAGAGTAAGGTAATATTGAAATATGAGATCTTTTCCCCGTAGATTTATGAGCCGGTATCGATTCGCATTCCAGTTGCAACTCATGCAAGTATTATTTAGTTTTTAGAATGTTGACTACTGAAATATACCGCAAGAATGTTAAGTGAATGTTATTAAAGTTGTAAAATACAATAATACATTCGAAATAGACCGTTTAGCCTTGTTAACGATTAATATGACCAAAAGTTCTCTCAAATTATAGTTTAACCCTTAGAGATTAAAAATGTTCTTGTATAGTTTAGAACACCAAGATTTCTTATTATTTCTAATGAATAAATAAACTAAATATTGTATGCAAGATGCGAAAATTCACTAGTTTTTACTCGTAAGCACAGTTCACGCACTTGGCACAAGAAGGCGTTTTATTGCGCCATGCAAGCTGTCACGTCCGAAGTGATGGCGGTGAAAATCTATTACTTCGAGAAAATTCTTGTCATTCTTCTCAAATTAAGAGACTCTGAGACCTAGCTTAAGCAAGCATTCTTTTCGCCGATCTATTATGTCACCTGTAACAATCGATCTTTACATTCGAACTGACTCAGCGATGGCTCATTGGAGCTCAGGAACAGTTTAGCAGCGTCAGGAGTTTATGTCGCATCTCTCCCACGCTGCCATCAACTTCTCAATGCTATTACGTTAAATAAATAAATTAAGATCATTTTTGCTTTGTATATAGCAAGCATTGAACGTATTCATTATTATTATTTTTTCTGAACATCTTGCGACATCGTGAATAGCTGAGTCATCGTTAGAGCGGCCGATGAATGAGGGGTTGGGTTCGTGTGAACGTAACACAATAATCTTCACAATGAAATTGTTCTATGCAGTGCTTAAAATTGTTTTATGCAATTGTTCTATGTTTTCATAATGCACGCGGTCGCAAACGCATAGGTTCCGGAATTATGAAGAGTGCATAGATTAGTTGACAACAGCTGACATTGCAGTAAAATGTAATTACTCTAATTTGTATTACAGTTTATTCTAATGTATTATGCTATAAAATGTTTGCCTATAGAAGCTGAATTTAAACGATGTTTACAAAACTCTACTTGCTCATTGAAATCTATAAAATTAAGAATATATTGACACAAAGCAAAATTTCCTGGAAGAAAAAAAGTTTTCTAATTGTTTACTTTGGTGAGTAGATTAGTTTTATATTAGATTTTATAACTCTGGAATTATTCTGAAATTATCAGCAGCACTTCATTTTTTTCTGAAATTATTTGAGAGGGTTGATTATTTATGCGCCTACCTTATAGTAAACTATTAGTCTATTACTATTAGTGAGTAATCAAGCGAGAGAACGGTCATAGGTTACTCTAGTTACTTGTATAACATAATTGCAGCCACCAACTATTTATTTAAATTACACTAAGTACTTATTTAATTTACACCAACTACTTGTTTAAATAAATTAAAAATACTCATTAAAAGAGATACATTCTATCCTATTCTAACTCAAGTTACAATTGAATCGAAATCACTCGCCCTGTGACAGATGTCTTCATTTTAAAATCAAATAGTAGATTGGAAAATCATTTAAAATACTAACTAAACCCTTAATTTTAACGGGTTTATTATCTAACTTCAAAGATACTTTTAAATTTATTGCTGTGTTATTTGCAGGTGACGAGTACAGACAGCTTACCTTGAAGCAGAACTTCCCCCCAAGGCAGCGCTCGACCAAAGGAATGATTCGCTGGAGCGAAGCTACGACCAAAGCGCTACGGTATATATTTTCGTCAAAGTGTTGGTGTATACTGTGATAAAAAGATTTAATTGCTCGCATTGTTGTATGATATTTACGTTATTCGAGAAATGACATAAACTAAACTGAAATATTATCAAACTCTTTCTGATAATAAACTTTTGATGCTGATAAACTTTTTGATGCTGCATGGAAGCTCAATTTATTGGTTCGAAGTTGGTTACACTTTTCATGTAAGTTTTAAATCATTAAGAGAAATTTTTGCAACCACAAGTTCATTAATTCTTTTAGTCGTCTTAATCATGAGCAGTAGAAAATGATTTAAATTGTTTGTAAAAAGTTTCTGAGATTTTCCTTCCTATTTTCATTATTTTGACTAAAAATTTTATGAATACCCTATAAATTTGAATATTTGCTATTATAGAAGTTCCAGTACAATTATTTAGCTTCACTCAGTAGGAAGTGTCGCCAATTGACATTAAACTGGTCATTTAATTTTCATTGTTGTGGAAACTTTCTTCTCAAGTATGAATTTCTTGCATTTTTAAGATTGCTTGGTTCACATTTAAACTTTGAGTAAAGAAACTCGCTCTGTACCTAATGGATCATTTTCAGTGGTTGAGTTCGACATGATGGGCACGAGTTGGATCATTGGAAAACACCAGCATTATTGTAATACATCATCAATTATACATCAGTTATATACTTCAGTTGCTATTCTGGATAGTCAGATAATAATGAATGATCTACGCGTGCTGCGAGTGACTGGTCTCGGCATTACAAGAGTGGTCAACTCGCGCAAGGAGCGGCCTCTAGCATGCGCAACTTGGAATAAAACTCTGGAGCGATGACGGGTACACTTCAGTTTACTCGTGAGCTCGTCTGTGACACGTCGTTGACAGGTTCTAGTTGTCATGAGTCTGTGCCTCCGAGTTCTCGCTCTCTTGGTCGTCTTGCAGGCTGTTGTTGACTCAGCCTACCCTGGCGCTAACACCGAAATGCCGTTTATTAGCTGGATAAAACCTCTAGACAATGAACACTCTCGCCCAGAGAATGACGCATTAGGGCATTACAATTATAGTCCTGCTCCTCAAATCAACAAAAAAGGTCGACGCGATATTGAAGATCGCCTACAGCAACACCCAAGCGCGGATCGCATTAGAAATTCAAGAACAAATCGGAACCAAGTTGGGTACAGCAAACAGAACCTGCACAACACTCAACCGGCGGATCAGAACCCATCCAGAACCGAAATGGCTGACTCCCAGACATACGATAGAGAACTGGAGGAGAGGAAAATGTTTCGAATCAAGCAAATTCAGATCCAAATTTTGCAGCAGCTACAACTGGATTCAGCACCCAACGTCACTGGCATTGTCGAGAGCTCAAATCCTGACATCAAGAAGCTGAAAGAGCAAATCAACGATAGCAACCAGAATACGACTCGTGATAACAACTACCAGAGGGACATGCCGAAAGAGTTCAGCAATAAGATCTTCATCCCCGTCGAAGACCGTAAGTCGAACATATTCACTAGGCAGTTCATTCCTCATGAACAAAGTTTATTCCAAAGTGTGCTAGTTATTTATTCCGTTATATGTATATATTTGTGTATGTTTGACAGTGTGTTTGAAACGTAGACTTGATAACACAAGTGTAAAGGGGCCAGCTGAGCGCGTTTCCGCAAAACGCATTGTATGGGGAAATTATACCTGCCACATTAATATTGTTTCACTGGCAAAATACAGCGATATTCCAGAACAGAAGAGGGCTCGCGACAAAAAATTTGAACCTATTTTTTTTTTTGTACGAGTAAATCTAATTCAAAATAAGAAAATCAAATTTTTAGTTCAATTTCCAATCGGGTACTAAAAAACTGTTCAATTCCAAATGTGGATTGAAACAGGTTTTTATGTAATTGATATTTATATTTTGACAATAATTGGGTACATTCAAGAGGACGGGATTCAGGATACCAGGATTCTCGAATTTTGGCTGCTAATAATTTCTGGCAGTGCCTGGTTAACTTGCACGTACGATGTGAATATGAAAGTGGAATTTGAAGGGAAGTTTAGAAAATACTTTGAGAAATCCAATAGAAATTTACTCGTTCAAGTTTCGAAAGAGTAACAAGAAATTACTGCGGTACTGTTGAATATCACGAGAAGAAGGGGCCAGGAAAATAATGTGGGAAGAAAACACGAAATATTAAAATCGAAATCAGAAACGAATATAACATATTTACTGCGTCATGAATGCCTAGTACGATAGCCCACCCGCCTATTGATTACTTTATTTAGCAAAAATGAGTGATTAAATAAATAATAACTGGCCGTATTTATACTGATTATCTTGAAATATTGAAAAATAACATCTAGCATATTGATTTTGTCCAATTATTGTGGGAAAGTCTTGTACAGTTCTTCGTATTAATTTTGAATAGGTACACATTGCATAAAGTGATATGCTTAACTCAATAACAACTAACTATCAAATTAATGGTTAATTTAATCAGTATTTTTATGAGTTGAGGCACCATTTTATTCTTTAATTTTTTTGTAGCAATACTGAATAACGTGGGTGTTTGGCTACAAATATTTCAATTATTCGGACGGAATTTTTAATCAGAAACTATCACTTAAATACTTTATTTTCCCAATATTACTTACCACTCTGCTTAATAAATACTTCTAACTAGTCTATTCAAAATATATTACTTACTAATCTACTTAACCAATTGAACAAATACTACTTACCACTCTACTTAATAAATATTGCTTACTACTCTACTTAACATATACTACTTACTTAACAGATATAAATACTTGGTTTCATGTCCTGCTACTAAATTCCGCGTCATGAGGTAGACTGTGCATAGTGCGTGTCATAATAGCACCGCGTGCATGCTTTACTTATTTTAAAAAAATGTGAGCATATTTAACTCTTTTTAAATACTCAGAGCTTTGAATGCTATTCAGAGTAAGAAATTTTTTTAATCTGAGTGAAGAATTTTACTTAAAATGTTAATCTACCATTCTAAAAAGTTCTCACTAATTTTCTCTTTAACATGAAATGCTTTAAGTAGCGGGATGAATCCAATTTCTACAATTAGTCACTGAAAATGTTTGAGTTCTCGGCAGGAGCCAAGAGCCATCTATTATTTTAATGAATTTCACTACCATTTTAATTCGTATCATCAGTACCTACCATTTATAACATACAATTTTTCGTTCTATTTTATTAAAACACTTCTCTTTAACTTCACTTCTGCTTGTTTGTTTGTCTGTCTGCTATAAATCTTATAATTGATATTTAGCACACTTCTGCCTTTCCCATCGATCTGAAATTTTGCACACTTGCGTAAAGTTGGAGACAATGCATGAATCAATTTACAGAATAAATACTTTCAAAAATTACCATTTTTTTATTTAAAAAAAATGATAAATAATTATGTCTTCTACAAAGCTTGTAATCGATTTTCAATACACTTCACACTTGCGTAAAGTCGGTGGCAATGCATAAATCAATTGACCGAATAAATAATTTTTGAAAATTTATTTTTTTTTATTTAAAAAATGTAAAAATTAATTTCTGTAATATTTGATATTAAAATTAGAAATTCATTGTACAAGTGTAACATAGGAGACACTGAATTCTTTAGAAGTGTTGTCTTTAAAAAGTAATTTTTAAACTCACAATATTTATGATGTAGACAACAAAGGAATGCCATACTTTACTTGAATTTCGTATTTATATTTGATGGCCAATGCGCACTGGATGATTAAGACGTTAATTCAGAAATGTTGCGCATAATGTTACACTTAGAGCCTTTTTATTGTGTTGACAAACGTGCGAAATTTTCTAAGAATTTGTTCATTCATTCGCTTGAAAAAGCAAGTTTCTTTCGTTCGAATCAAATTGAAATCACGGGTAAATAATGTTGCCTTGGCGAGTCTGTTGTCATGCAGGCGAGTTGAAAAGCGCTGACGCCGCAAATTCAAGATCGATTTTAATCTGTAGTCATTGAGAAGCTTTGTGCAGTCCTCAACGATTATGAAGATCGTTTTTTATCACACTGGTTTGATTGAATGAAACCTTGAAACGGAAATTATTTCTAACTGCAACCATAAAGCTACAGCCACCGAAAGGCTAATGCCTTAGTAAATCTATTAGTAGCCACCGAAAGGCTAATACCTTAATAAATCTATTAGTAATCTTGCTGGAAAGTGTAGTATTGTAAATTAGCGTTGAATTTGTGCATGAATGTCCAGATTTCAAACGAGACATATTCTAGTGTTTTTTAGTTGAACTACAATGCCGAACTCTTTCATCAAATTTTTCCAGATAATTCATTTTTTCAATCTAACTTGTCATCCTTTATTTATCACATTCCCGGGAAATTTTTGTGCACGATAAACTTTCTCAGGCTCCTAATATGTAGCAGCGGCTCTTGATATGTATTTTTATATAAATATTTTTTTGAACTTTTAATTCAAATCAAGGGTTGGAATTATGACAAATTTCCCTATACCTAAATCCAATAAAATAATTCCTAATCCTTCAATGTCGTATGATTCAGCAGTGGCATGCACTTATTGGTCGGAGAAGCCTTTTCGATTTATATTGTACGTATAGAACAAGGGCTAAGAGAGGAAAATGTATAAATTATCAATAGAGACTTTACAGTACATATTTTAAATGTAATCCTTAACAATAAAACACATTGGCATGGTAAAACTCCACGTTATTATCATATAAATTTTCACTTATTTCAATATTGGAATATAGTATCTCGACTACTATTATCTTTCAACGAAACATTTTAAAGCAAAAGTTTTTAGATATATATAAAGTAATAGATATGACATCATAAGTACCAAAAAACAATTACAATTTGTTGTGTTCTTTTGCTAGCATCATGTTTATTGAACCGATTTGAAAATTCACTTGTTAACCATAAATATTCTTGCGTCCTTCCTTCTATAAAAATATCTTTTTGCTTGCAGGTTACCCGTTCGACTTCCAGCACTCGAACACGAGTGACATAATGTACTTCAAGATGAGTCACGGTGAGATCAGCCAAGCCTTCATCCACTTGTGGATCAAGCCTGTGAGATCAGCTCCAGGCTCCAAGCACGTCATAGAAATTTACAAAGTCAGCGCGCCCGTCGACAAGAACAACTACATCAGAATGAACGTGAGCAGCAATTGACATTTTATAATTATTTTTTGCCCTATCGTTGATATAAAATAATAACTGACTTAATTTTTTCAACGCTTAGATTGCATAATTTTAAATCAAATCGAATGTAATGCGATGATTACTGTAATTTCTGCTGCCATATCGCATGATGTTTGAGGATAAACAATTATACAAATCGCTGTCAATATTTTTTCATTATAATTTATACGTATTTTATTTGTCGCATATTTTTCTGATATTTGTCAAAGTTTGTAGGCGTTGTTTGGGAGCTTGGCTCATTAAATATATTGGGCTGCTAAGGGGTGCGTATCCACGATATTCTTCATATAGGGATAATGCTATAATGCTATAGGGATAATGACATAAAAATTTATTTTCAGTTGAAATGGGCTTTAAGTTAATTTCTGGGGCTGAACACGGTTTTTAATTATTATTTGTTAAAAAAGTATTCTAGCAGCACGATAAGCGACTGGATGATGGAACAAGGACTGGTAAACCGACTATTCCGTAACAGATATATGTGCGTGTTTGAGTGTTTATTCTTTTGTTTGAAGTATGACACTGTTGAGTCTATAAGAATTAGTATTTGCAATACCCCCTGAGACAGGTTATACCCGGATGTGATATAATACTTTCAAATTCGCATAATCGCAAAAAGAAGCTTATTTTAAAAATTGACGCATTTTACCACTAAATTTTGGTGCATTTTAAAATTTCCTTGTTACTATCAGGATAACCCATTGTTTGTAATACATAATTCCGTTCCCATATCTCGTTAATAAATCTTCAATCAAAGTCACCGCAGTTGAAAAAAATCAATTAAAACCCCATCTAACACAAAACTACTTTTCGACTTACACTTGTAAGGCTGAGAAAATTATTTTGATGGTTTGGAATTAATTTTATTTTCAACATGCTTCGAAAAAAGTTTTTTCCATTCTACCTTACGTTTTGTCTATTGTTTTGATTAAGAATAAAGTTATATAGGGTCCAAGTGAAAACGCGACTCGATAGGTATAGCGGATTTCATATTCGACTACTCTGGTCCAGGAATTAGAATTTCGTGCGCAAAGCAGCTAGCAGGCACCGATATAAATATTTCCAACTAAAATTCCCTGCGTTTGTCTGGGCTTAAAAATTGCTGCAATTTAATTAGGAATCCCGCTGTCCAAAATAAGTCATTCCGGTAATCTTTAATCCGGGTAAATTCAATTTATTTATTTTAATAGCTTATTTATTTTAATTTTATAAGATGCTTTCAAAGATACGTTTCACATAAAAGATAAGAATCTTATTTTTACTCATGTTTCCGAAAATGGAAACAATATTTTTCTTTTAAATTAAATTTCTATTTTTCAATTCAATTTCAAATTTCAACTTTTGATCCCATAGGTACTTACCTCTTTCCTCCATCCTGTTCCTCCTTTTCCTTCCTATCACAGTCCAATCCTATATCATATATCCAGGTAACATTTGGACACAATAAGTATTCTTGATAAACGCCCGAACAGCCGATATATGTGACAAGCTAAGCTTCAAACACATACACAAAAATCGAAATAATATAAAGCAATATAATAAACCTTCTTTCAATGCCAACGAGGACTCATTCATCATAATCTCTCAAGCACTTAATTTTACACCAAAATTTAAAAATTCCTATCTATTCAAGATAAGTGATACATTTATTAATGAGTGATGCTCATACGATCTCTAACAAAATGAAATAATTCCAGATGCTGTCCGTCGACACGGTGAACTTGGAGCACAACAAAGGCTCGTGGATTCGGTACCCAGTGTTCGCGATGGTGGCGGACTGGGCCACGAACCCCGACAACAACCTGGGCATGATCGTCATCATGAAGGGTCCAGACGACAACCAAATTGCCGTCACTAACTCCAAGGAGGAACCTGAGAAAGTGAGATAGTTCTCATGCTTTGGATTAATACTATTGGCAAAAACTGAGATCAAGGTGTTTTCGGTTAAGCAGAATAATAAAACTCGCTGTCTTTTATTTAATTTTGCTTTGATGCCGAATAATTATAGTATCATTGATGAAAACAAAATTATTCCCGTTGGTATTTATTAAAAATAATAGGAAGAAAAGTTTATTTGCATCTGAATATTTTTTTGCTATATATAGGATAATGCTTCTTATAGTTTAAACAGATGCATGCTCCGCCATAGCTTCAATGGGAAAGTACTAAAATGAATAATTTATTCATTTCAAGTATTGTCATATTTTCTAATAGCACGTGCTGCTTGCAGGCGCCGTTGCTGGAAGTGCAGTTCATCCACGAGAGCGACAAAGCGAACCGACTCGCCCGCTCCCCAGACGGCGGCAAATGCTCCCTGACTGAGACCAGATGCTGTCGCTTCCCCCTTCCTGTCAACTTCACGGAGCACAACTTTGACTTCATTGTTGCTCCCAAGGTGTACATGGCTAATTTCTGCAATGGAACTTGTGATTACCTGTACGCACAGCAGCACATACACATGGCTATGGTGCAGAAAATACACAGTGGGACTGCGACACACGGTCCGTGTTGTGGTGCAAAGGAACTCATGCCTCTCAACATGCTCTACTACGACCATGACAGAAAAATACGCTTCGATACCATCAATGACATGATCATTGAGAAATGCAGTTGTGATTAGGATTTACTGAGGAGATATGCTCTTCAAGAAAGAGGTTACTCTTTGTTGAATTAGGGTGTGATACTGTGATCTGGGGTAATTGTCGAGTCGTGCTTTATTATAATGGGGTAATAATAAGAAGAGAATGTGGGTTCACAATTAGTTTACTACTAATATTTATTACGTACTAACAGGTCAGCCCGACGTTGAACAGGCTGGATAATACCGGAAATTTTGGAATCATGTCGTCCCTAAACCAGCCATTCCGCTGTCTTGAATCCCATTGTCTCTTTCAACTCACATTTAAAGTAGTACATAACACTAACATTTGCGTCTCATTTCAAATTATTAAATGCAGCTTTTTATTTCTTTAAATTAATTTCATTCCTTCCAATTTATAAATCAAATTTCAATTTGTTGTCCCTATCCTTTCCTACCAGTTTTGGAATGCCATTCAATCCTAACTCCGAGCACAAAATTTCCGGTCCTCGTAATATCCGAACGCGAAACATAATAAGTATCCTGGAAACGCGTTCCAACTGCTCCTAAACATTTGCGGTGCCAGGGCTTCAAACTCACACACACTTCCACGAATATTTATAAGATATATCATGTGGCGTATCATGAAGAGGTGTTTTATTCCTATGCTGTACATATTTTGATCTTATCATCTCATAATACGTTAAATTTCTATCACAGGCATTTTGAAGGAGATTTGAATAATTTACAAGATGCAATTGGCTCAAGGGCTAAAATCATATGAAATTATTTTATTTCTTTGTTATTGAGTATGTCAAATAATGAAATAAATATTTAAATCTGTCATGCCTGAGCAATAGGCTACTTCATTCTCACATTGAGAGCATTGTGAATTTTGAACTGGTAATTAAGACATTCACCACGACCAACTCTAGGTCTGTGGTAAATTCTATTGTCATTTCAACTTGCTTGCTAACTTAATAATAATCAAATATTGAACAGTGATGAAAAGTCATTGTGACTGAAAGAATCAGAAATCGTTCATATTGTTTTTTGGTGGCGCTTTGTGTTATTTAGCATATAAGAATATTATTGTATAACTACGATTTGGTTGATATTTATTGTAGCCATGGTTTTCTCTAAACTTGTATCAAGAGAAAAAGTTGCGTCATCCCTGAAAATCTTTAAAGGAAGCTCATGGAATTATCCATTTATTATAATCCGATGAATCTCAATGGATATACGCAGTATTATAATGAACTCGTATACATGACTGTATACAGTATAAATGAATCTTAAACGTATACAGTAAATTGGTTAATTTTTCATTCATTTAAAAATGAAAACATTCCATCTACATATTCAAGCCGAATAGTCGCGGTTTTGCAAGAACTTAGGTTGAAAATAAATGATGTGAAGGAAATGTAGTAAAATGTGCGTAACAAAATTTATATTTTTCATATCAAATTATAAAGTTTTTATATATTATGGCATCGACTATGTTCTATGAGTAAGTTTAATGAGAGCGTCTAACATTTGTTACAACTAATATGTTGACAATAGTCCCTTACCCGAAGTTTCTAATGTAAATCTAAGCTGATCGATAAATCTTAAAATGAAATTTCGAACGTTCTTCGTTCGTTCTAGATCCTTAATTACTACTGTTCTTAGAATTATATTTATTTCATTGTCACATACCATTTTAACATCTACACAATCATATCATAATAATCTACCACGAATATGAATGTAGTAAATGATTATGCATGTGTGTATATGAAATATTTTAAACGTTGAACTTATTTAAATACGCATACGGTTTTTAAACATTCATCAGTAAGCACTTCATATAAACTCATTCAAGTTTATTGTTAGGGCTTTTATAATTTGTACAAATAGTCATAAATTTACCGTTTCCTCTATGAAATTCAACAATTTCACCATTTGCCTTAATTTTTTTTTAAAGTAAACGTCCATTTCCATTGCTCCGTCTATTCTGCAATATATTTTTTCTCCGCCCTGTGCATCTGCTCTGAGAGCGCGCTGCACGAGCCAGGAGTCTTTCGGCCTCATAGAACACAAAATGAATGCTTTGTTTGAAATTAATATTACGCTGGTAATGCTACTAGAAAATGCTATATATATTGCATCATCGCAATTCAACGGTGTCTTTTATTTCTCTACCTGAGGCGCATCTTAGGTTTCGATCCAACAAGTTTCAATGACCACGATCACTATTGTGAACAATAACAAAATTCCAAAAATTAAAGCCACTTAATTCATTGATCATATCTGTGCTATTGCAACAAAATTTAACAAACAAAAACCTTCAGCAGGAGCCACCACATCAATAGTAGATTGTTGATTCTGTGCGTCACCAACCATGCAGACAAAAACCACTCGCATCGATGGAACAATTTACATCGTTTTTTGACAAGTAATTTGTGAAAACCGAAGCAAAATTACAATTGATAGACTCTTATTGGCTTTCAGTCTGCTGAATTTGATTTCATCCCTGAGAAGAATGGCATTTGATGTCAATTTGCTTGCGTATGATTAATTTTCACTCTACACATTGAGTATTGCGAGTCTCAGCGGGTTAGTTTCACAGAATTCTCTTCTATAGCATTCGGTTTCATACATAAAAAGTCAAGAGAAAAAGCGTTCTATAAGATTCACAAACATTTTTCCTACTTAAGTCTACGCCAAAAAAACGAGTTGTATGATGAAAATATTGCTTCAATTCGAAAAATGGATATTCTAGACAGGACGTAATTAACTCGTATACAACGCAGCACTGTTTTGCACTATGTCGTCTGCTACATTCGATGCAATGTTTAGAAGGACTTATATCGAAATGGCACGTCATGCAGATACAATTATTAGTAAGGCTTATATCGGTGTATCACATTTGGTTCAATAATTAATAAGACTTATATAGATTTTTCACATTCAGATTCAGCAAAGTGTTTATAAAGACATCTATAGATGCGTCAGATTAAAAATAAAAAAATGGGTAGGAAAAACGTTGAGAATGTCTCGGACATGGAGACTACCGATGATCTTTTAACCAGGAGATTGAGATGTCAACCCCTTCGTTGAGTGTTTTAGAGAAAAAAACATTCCAAATTACTATGTACTTAACCCTAGTTTATAATTCAACAGTTATGAATCAGTAAAATATTTTTGTTTCTGTTTTTATTCGTGATGTTCTTTATGTTCTAACACATCGAAGCCTGTCGACAAGAGGAAGGTTGTGTCTCTCTTTAAAACGGGAAAATCCGTAATTCCACTTTGTGAGAGTCTATAACATTTCAAGAGTCATTATAATTATATCTTTCATTTGATAGAAAAATGGGACCAAGATAATTTCGTCCCTTGTAGAGTCGATCTAGAATTTTTGGAGAAGGTCTGCGACACAATTTTTCAATTAGGAGCAAAACGAGCTCATCGGTCGAAGCTATGTTTGAAGTTGTAGTAATTGTGAGTAAACTGTTGTCTCAATTTTGAGATTACGTAGGTATTGCAGGCTTTCGTTTAAACGTTAGTTATGCTGATGAATTAATAATTTAATTATGTCAAAAATATGAAATGGCTTTTGCACCATGTACTCATTAGTGCTGACAAATTACATGCATAGTTCACTCGACCAAAATGTATACGCTTAATCAGTAATTGAATTTACATTCATCCATCGATAGCAACTAACAACAGATATTGAAGCACTATAGATTTACACCGCATGTCTCATATATTGGGAGTCTGACATATATTCAACAATTTTGATTTCTCAGTTAAAAATTTCCATGAATTTGTTCACGAGGTACACAGTCAACATGAGGGTGATTAACAACTATTATTTTTATAGCCTTCTTGAATGATCAGGGTTCCTTTGTTGAATTTCTTCCACGTGTTGAAGAAGTTGGCGCTATTGCTGCAGACCGAGTAGTTTGCGACCGGTTTAATTCACTGGTCTCCTTACAAACAGTGATGCGCTGAGAAAATGACATCAGCGCCTGAGTCAAACATGTTCAAAGCACGTTCGAAACAAGAAACAGATATAGACATTTATAAAATTAGAATCGATACTCATACATGTGACTCATGCTATGACGCAGTTATCACTGAACTTAAGTGAACGAGTTGTCAAAGGATGCTCGCCGCCGGACTTAAACATGGCCGGATCCTATAGTCCATTGATCGTACTTGTGCACTGAATTCATAAATTAAAATGATGTTTTAATTAAGACGCTGAAGAAATTATAAGCAAAATCTATGAACCAACCCGCTTTTATATGCATGCTGAATACAACTAATACTGTTGGAAAGCCTCGGAAACTTGAACATGTGTAAGGCGATAAGAAGTTAAGAAGGTCATTCATTTCACAGCTATGCGCTTTCTTTATATTGAAAATTAAATGACTAGTTTCATTTTAACTCATTTTTTGTATTGAATGTTAACCTTGATTTATGCTATAAGTTCCGAACTTCAAAACAAAGGCGTTATAACAATACACAAAATGTTTCAAGAGAATATTTTCCGATATTAAAACAATCTTGGACTAATTTGACAGATAGCTGTACAAAAATTTTATATATGTACTAAAAATATTTACTCATAGCCAACTTTTCACTTCAACGGACATGTTTGCTTCAAAATAGTATACGGGCTGCTAAATGTATCTACTGTCCATCGAACGCAATAATAAGGAAGCAGAGAAGGTTAAATCAGAACTTTACATTATTCTGCCGACGAACTTTTTGAAGTCGATTGATCTGAAGTGAGCGCTTCGTTTCGCTCCTTATCGAACACAAAGTGGGAATTCCCGGCTTCAGAATCATTGTTTTCAGCAGTTGCTTCAGTTTCAATAAAGCTTGAAGGTAAAAACATATTTTCATAACATTTAAATTTCATTAGACATTATTATGAATCCAAAAAGCAGTGTTGCTCGTAATTTTCCTTTTTCATTTTATGTTAGATAGTAGCTTGTCATGACGCATGTTGGTATCGCTGGCCGCATCCTGTTTTGATTCTCAATTCTTGACAAATCTATGCGCTTGTGTGCGACCTTTCAATTTTTAACAACTTTTACCACATATGAATAACTTTCCATGAAACATTAGCTCTAGTTATTCAGTAATTCACCGCAATCTAAATATTAAACAGGAATGATTTTATATTACTGTATGCTGGCATACTCGAATTATATTGAGTTGTATCCGAAAGTTCAGGAAAGATTTATTGATTAATATGGACACTGGTGTTGCGTGACGTGACGAGACGGGTTAAATGTTTCAACCGGTTCAAATGTTTCCTGTAGTGTACAGGATATCTACATTGCCAGGACCTAATGCGTGCGTCATATAATGACATATATAGTATCTGCAAGGCTAATTTTAATCGCACAATGCTGCTTTAGATTTTACGTTGTTTGTTTAGCCCTGACGAATGCTCAAGAACTCACGAACGTTTGCTTGCTAGCTGGGGGCAAACTCACATTTTTTAATCATGCAACAATAGTAATGCTAGTAATTCAACTAACAAGTTTTCCCTTTAAATGCAAAGTTTCATGTCGGGATAACGATGACAGTGTTGACAGTTGATGAACACGCATCAAGCAGATCACCTTCAATGGTCATAAATTTCTGTTTTGTTGGATAACTTTCGAATGTCTGAAGCTAACAGTCTCGAGATGCAGTTTCAGTTGATTTTGTTAACAAGAAAGCTTAGTCACATCCTCAGGAAGCGATGGCGACGAGCCTGATAGGAGGACTGAGACTTCAAGGTCTCATTTCTACGAAGCCAACCAAATCGTGCACAAGTGTCTGTAAAGTGTCTTACATTATTGATACTACATTAAATTATTATTAGCTTTAAGTGTCTGAGATGCACTTCCTTGAATCTTCAAAAGTTATAATCATTTCATAATAACAGCTTAAGTACATCGAAGATAGTCATGATAATCGCGTTCGACCCAAATGTTGCCCTTTTTTAACGGTTGCAGTTTTGTGACGAGTGTCAAAACCAGAATTGTGTCAAAGTTTGATACTTGAAATAAAAATCAGCATAATTAGACCGAAACATTTCCTCTATAGAATTATCCCATTCTTTTTTGCAAATTCTCAGAAAATTTAATAATTTCAGAACGCTCTATAATTAATTTGTCCAATGTGAAATGCTCACGACACAATATATAAAAAACCTTAGAGAGAAAAACTTAAGCATCGTTTAAACTCTTAATGATGAAAACATATTGTCTCAATTCGTGAAACTGTTTACGTGTGTGAAAATAAGATACAGTCATGGCGGTCGGGAAAATATGGTTAGTATTATGGCTTTTATGCGCGTAAAAGCCTAACTTCTTTTAAATCCGGTTCATCTTTCAGAAATGTTTAAACATGCGTTCATTGGATAAAATTATTCTCGAATTTTTTTTCTTGTGTTTCAAACAAATTTCTGAAGCACTCAACCTCAATAGAAGAAAAAATTTAATTTCATGTAGTTCGAATATACCCAAATTCTTGCCTGATTTTTATTTACATCAGGAAATCATGAAGGAAGCCTTTATATTTTTAAAGTGGTTAAAATTTTTGTCACACAGGTTTGTTCTGGTGCTGTCAATGCTGAGCACGCATCTGGCAGTGGCAACAACCGTGAAATTGAACGAAATCGGGCCTTGTTGCAGTAGCCACTGCAGCATCGGGGAGTACAACAATGCTACCAAGAAGTGTCCTCAAGAACGCCACCCAAACTACACATGCAACTTGGAAAATTGCCAAATTGCCTATGTAAATTTGGAAGCAGGAATAAATTAAGATATGCAGAATATGTTGTTATATTAAATCAGATGTGGTTTTATTCACTTATTAAGTAAAGGTTATTATTGAGCTTGAGAATATGAAACTTGGTGAACCTGATACTTTGACAATACTTATGTACAGGATGTACTTCGCAGCCGAAATAATCTCACCGGTGTGGATAGGAAATTTTTTTCAGTTAGTTTAACAGAATTTATTGTAATTCAAATTTCCTATTTTGTATGTGATTCTTTTAAATTTTCCATCTCGATGTCCATTATTGAAACGTTTTTCTTTGAGCAGGACCAATTGGTAATTTACTACTCATCGGAAGAACAAAAGCTGTACGATACGCTGCACATCCTGAATGCACGTACAGTGAAACTCTACAATTCGCACATCGCGGATAAGTTGGAGTTCACGAATGTCAGTCTCATCTCGACCGTGAACGAAGGAAGAAGTGGTTTTGATAGTCTCATCTTAGTGAACTCGTTCATCACAAATATAACTTTCACAGAACTGAAATTTTTAAAGTTGAATAATTCATCAGCGGATGTTGTTAAGCTTTCCAACCTTAGTGAAATGGATATTTTGGATGAAAGTTCGATAAAGGAACTGGAAGCTACAATTTCGAGTTCCAAGAGCACTTTCTCCGAATCTCTCATTGAATCTATTTCTAAGCTTTCCGTGATAGGAACAGCAAAATTGAACGTAATTAACATGAAAATAAATTCGGTGGGCGAGATAGATATATATGAGAACACTATTGTCAATATATCGTCATTGATGATACCTCGTGTTAAAGTATTACTAGTAAAGAGTCAGAACGTCGAATTGGATAATGTCACAATTGAAGAAATACCGGATGGGGCCGTTAATATATACGGCAAGCTTCACATACAAAATTCTGTGTTGAGCAATGTTCATGGAGAAGGCATAGTGATTCAAGGAAGCGGCAAACTAGTTGCAAAAAATGTATCTTTCAATGGCAAGTTGATCTCGTTTGCGCTCGAGGGAATGCACACTGAAAACTCGAACATCTCTCTGGGCAGGCTGTGTCTGAGCTCATCTTACTCTGCCATGACATTCTGGATCGTTATAAGTGTGTTAATACTTTTGATAGCGATTTTTGGCGTAATGACCGCATTTTTAATATGGAAGAAAAGATCATCAGCTGAATGTGAAGTTCAAGTGGAAAGCTCGATGAAATCGCGGAAACTTAGTGAACGAGGGTTAGCCAATCTTTATACCCCTCCAGCTCACAAAGAAGAAATCCCAATGGGTCTACCAAAATCACAAACAGAGAGTGATGGTGTTAGTGATCCAAAAGAAGATCTCCCATCTCCTCCACCAACATCACAGACGACAATGCACCAGCCGAGATTCCCGCCACCTATTCCTCCACCGCCTCAGCCGCCACAAGAAAAGCAAAACTCATTGGTCGAAGATGAATACACAGACGTTGAAAACAATGTGAATCCCACGGTCCTCAAAACTCCACTACCACCACACCAGTCTTCTTTGCACCAAGCTCTGACATCAGCCTTGCACAAAAGTAACAAGATAGAAACACCCCAAGTTAGAGAACCGACAGTTCCAGCACCTAACCCAAAACCAAGCGTTCTGCAGAAACCCGTCGTCCCAATGTTCCCAATAAAACCACTTGCTTCTAATCCTCTTCTGAACCCAACCCAACCTCGAAACCATCGAAACGACGAAGCCTTCCCACCACCTCCTCCTTTAGATTCCTTACCTCCATCACATCACTACATTGGACGGTCTAAACCCCTACCACCTCCGCGCAAAGGATCAGGTATTTCTCTTCCTCCTGTTGATTTTGTTCCAGTAAACCAGAATGACCAAAGCGACTTGGAACCTGTTTACGAAGACACTGCAGTTGAGGAGCCCTTATACGCTGAAGATGAAATTGAAACATAGTGATTGCTGACATCGGATGCAGTGTTATATATGCAATGTAATGCACTTGAAGAGAATAATCTTTGCGCAAATATCGACCCTAATTTTGATTTTTCTCACTCAGTGTCTTTCCTAGAATAGGGAAACTTCCTGTTTTGTACTTCGCGCCGAGCTGCCAGATGTTGTATGAAAAAATAAAATCAGTACCTACTCACTGAAGTGAGTGACAGAGAGCGGCGCATTTTCACGTCCGCCCGTCCGTGAAGTCACGGACGGACATGACGAGCACAATAGGCCTTTTTTCCATAAATGAGAAAATGCGCTAAAAAGCAGGAAGTATTTCATATGAAAGGCAGAGTCATGATGTTTTGTGTCCCGCCTAGTCAATTGCAACTATGCATTGGACAAGTGAGCAGCGTGTGTTTGCTTTCGAGGCGTACTATTCTAGTGGCCATTTGCAGATTGTCTCCGTCTGAGATAACATTTTAAGGAACTCCTCATTTCCTTGAGAGGTGATTTTTGCTTGGGGTTATATTAAATCAATTCAATTGTTTACAATGACTGTCCAAGTACCCTACCACATTTGAAGAACAACATACGCTAAGCCATCGCCAAAATACCCGTCATGCAATATGCGTCAGCGAGTTAATGGAACTTCAAAAATCGATTAACTGAAAGCATTGACAATGGGGGCCGTCATTTGTCCGATGTCATCTTTAAAACTAAATGATGCAAAAATTCAGTTAATGTATTTTCTAACAAAATGTGTATTGTAATGATATCTTTACTTATTCTAATTTTATTGAGCTTTTAAATAACGAAATGTCAGTGAATCAACCGGTATATCCTCGCGGGTGATCAGTCCTATAAGTCGCGAGTCTACCTGAGAAATTTAAACAAAAAAGATTATTGTAGGTTCAACGCACGTCCGCCGTCAGATTAAACCTCCAGAAGCAGAAAGAAACAGCTTTCATTTTCTTAAAAATTGGAAGACACTTGTGTGACGTCTCAATTGATGCAGACGCTTATAATAATCAAACGTGAAACTGAGTAGATTGTTTTCGTCCTCTGAACAAACCGCAAACACCATTGAATCTCACTCAAATAGAGACTTAAGGTAGTTTCAAATAAAAATTATTTATTCATACAATGTCCGATTTCACTCTAATTTCTAAGTTATTAATAATTATACGTAATACTAATATGAACTATTTATAGAAATTATTGATGATTCAATCTGACAAGTTGTCGTCGGTGTCTTTTAATGGCGAATGTCGATGAATTGTTCAACTGAATCATTCACCTAGAACAAGAGCTTGCCGGATATCTTATCATGATGAATGATATTGCTTTGTTAACATTTGCACACTACCTTCTTGAAATTAAACCTAAAAAAATCAGCATTCGCTGCTTACCTGTTCTCCTGAATTATACTGTATCAGGTCGTGAAAATTCGACTCAAGTGGTGGCGACCCTCCATGCTTTCTAGAGCGTCTCTTTCCTCCATTAACCGCACAGAAAATTCGTTAACTACACAAACAAGAACCAGTATTGTACCTTATAAATATTCCTTAAACAAGTTTTTTATATATGTAGTGGTGTTAAATTAAAGTTTATACCCGGTGAAGTAAAACTTATTGGCATTATTATTGAAGGGTTTTAATAGCTCTTGTGTCCATTACTGTACAATACGCAATGTCGTTAAATCTGATATCATATAATAAAAAACTCCTCAGGTATATGAGGAACGAAGGAAAAACGTGTCGGTCATGCCACGAAATTAATACTTTCGGCCACAATTCGCTACTTTCGGCCACAATTCGCCGCCACTAGCAGGTGGCTCGTGGCCTGTACCCCTACTTACTCTACTGGACCAGCAGCACAATGATTCCTATAGTAGCTCGTACTGACATTGTTGACGAGGGCGTCAAGACTCAAGATTACTTGCGTGCGAAATAGGTACCTACGTAGCGTCTCTGAAATGCCGCTAGTCCTGACAGCCACATTGGTCCTATGAGAACTCAGCTTAATAAGTCAAATTGATGAGTGAATAATAAGAACTAAATTATAAGAAGAAGTTTGCAAGGACTCGTTTACTTGTAAGTTTAACCTATAATAGGGAAAGATTTCTCAAGTTTCTTTGTAGGGAATTGCAATAAGATTAGTGTAACTTCAACTTCCGGCAGAGCTGGGCAGCGCTACTTTGAAATGTAGCGGCGCTACCGCTACCGCTACATGCTCTAAATGTAGCGGGCGCTACCGCTACTGCTACACCCATTAGATTGTAGCGAGCGCTACCGCTACAGTAAAATGTAGCGCCGCTACATTAACCGCTACAACGGCCAAAATTATTGGAAATCTCTAAATATTTATTGTTTTGCTATTGGGATTTACTCATAAACATTTAATGATAATAAACATTTTCAAAACACATCAATGCAACTTTATTGCAGTTAACCTAACCGAACTAGTACGGGTTAGATACAGTAAATAAAAGTTACAATTATTTTTATGTTTTACCTTCCCTACATGGATGTCTACTTTAATCTACCAATCTCAAAAATTATCCACATATACATATAAAAAATCAGTCTTTTATTTGTATATATATGTGGATTATTTTTGAGATTGGTAGATTAAAGTAGACATCCATGTAGGGAAGGTGAAACATAAAAATAACTGTGTAAAAATAACTGTAAGCAAACTGAAAGATGAAAAAAACCTGTAAGTGGTAACTGGTAACAACTTAACAAGTAACAACTAACATGTTGACACTAGTAACAGGCTGAGGTTGACAACATTACACCGAAATCTTTCGTACAGTTTTATTCTGTAATTTATATTATGTATGTATCATGCTGGTTTTTAAATAATATTTAATACTATTAAGTAAAATCTAAAGGCTTTATCTATAAATGTAGCGGTAGCGCTGTAGCGGCAAAACCTCGTATCGCTACTTAAATATGTAGCGGGCGCTACCGCTACCGCTACAATTGCTTAAATGTAGCGCCGCTACCGCTACTGAAAATGTAGCGGCCGCTACATGTAGCGCGCTACTGCCCACCTCTGGTAACAACTAACATGTTGACACTAGTAACAGGCTGAGGTTGACAACATTACACCGAAATCTTTCGCACAGTTTTATTCTGTAATTTATATTATGTATGCATCATGCTGATTTTTAAATAATATTTAATACTGTTAAGTAAAATCTAAAGGCTTTATCTGTGAATGTAGCGGTAGCGCTGTAGCGGCAAAACCTCGTATCGCTACATAAATATGTGGCGGGCGCTACCGCTACCGCTACAATTGCTTAAATGTAGCGCCGCTACCGCTACTGAAAATGTAGCGGCCGCTACATGTAGTGCGCTACTGCCCACCTCTGCTCACTAATTTGTCATTTTAAGTTTTGAATCGCCACCAATATGACTTCGCCTGTGCCTCATGAATGATCTGTGTAAGGTTCGTGATGCTTAAATAGTTGTCGTGAATTTATAGAAACACAAGTTTTCCATTCGTTTGTGTATTGTGTTCGGTTCCATTTTCCGTGTTTAGTTAATAAGTACCAAATCTAAATTTTACATTACAGAAAGGCTCCGAATCTTGAATTCGAAGTTATATCATGCGTTAAAACCTAAGAGAACACACATTTTATATATTTTTGCGTTTAAAGTTTAATTGTCATAGCTTTCTTGATTATTTCATTCGTCCTTATTTTAATGGTTCGCTTTACGATCACGTAAGCCGAGTTGATGTGTCCCGGAGACCCCAACATCTTAATAAAGTTAATTGTTATACATGGGTATTATTAAATTACTTATACCTGTATCAGATGCATTGCATAAATATTAAGAAAATACGCATCTGTTAATTTACGCAGAAAGTGCTGGATTGTTTATTATTCCATTTTACGCGTATATTGCGAGATCATGATAGACAAACTGGCATAGATTGTCAGAAAAGGTTACAGACGCTTCGAGCTCGTCTCGGAAAATTTTACGGCCGGACTCGCGGCCGGTCCCCGAATTCAATGATCAAGGAATATATCCCACACTAATAAACGCAGCTCGATTAAACTTGGTACACGTATTCATTAGGACCTAACGGTGATGTTTAGCTCGTGATTTTTAACACGTTTTTTCTTAGCTTAGCTTCGCGTTTGTTTGTTTGTTTGTTTATTTGTTTGTTTGTTTGTTACACACGTTTTTTGGGGCGAGCCCTAATTTATTTTCTATTTTTTAGTCCACAAGAAAAACGTGGTTTTTTAAAAAAAATTTTTAAGTATTTTATTTTTTTATTTCGCCTTCATTCGCGAGTTATAAGGCGACATGGGCCGAAATTCGCAGTGATTAAGGAATTTCTTCCAAACTACTGAACAGATTTGGATGAAATTTCAAATATACATTCCTAACTACCAAACAGTGATATATAGCTCATGAAAATTTTTTCGATTTTGCCTTTGTTCGCGAGTTTTATTCCATTTCACCGTCATTCGTGATTGAAACAGCAATACGTGCTTAAATTCGCAGTGACCAACAAATTTCTTCTGAAGTACTGAACAGATTTGAATGATACTTTTTATAAACTTACCTAACCTCCCAACGGTGATGTTTATCTCTTGACAATTTTTCCGATTTTGCATTCGTTTGCGAGTTATACGACTCATGGTCAATGCAAATTTAAAATTGGCCTCATAAATGCCGGGCGTTTCTCCGTGTATATATATGGAATGTATATTTAAATTTTCGTTCAAATCGTTCAGTAGTTTGGAAGAAATTCCTTTATCACTTCGAACTTTGGTACGTCTCGTCATATAACTCACGAATGAAAGTGAAATTCAAAAAATTTCCACTGGCTAAATATCACCGTTATGTCCTAATGAATACGTGTATCAAGTTTCATCGAGCGGCGTTCATTAGTTTAGGATATAATCCTTGATCGTTGAATTTAGAGATTGGTCGTCAGACCGGCCGCGAGTCCGGGCGTAAATTTTTCCAAGACGTCCTCCGAGCAATATACTTTCAAACGGTGTGGTAGGTGCCTTGCGACAGCTGTTGTGTAGGGAAATGTGGTTTTAATGTGTAGCAAGGTGGAGTATTGCTTGGCAATTTCGAGTAACAACTCAAAGTCTTTGCCAAACCGGCTTTTAGTTGTTTAGTACTCAGCACCGACACATTCTGGGTGTCCGTCGTGCCGTGGCTACATTATCCATGCAAGCTGCTATATAGCTT